GCATTGCCTTGACTCTGAAATCGGTGTGCTTGTTTAAAACTTCCTTGAGCAGAAGCGTGAATTGTCTTAGGTTGTTGTCTCTCTGGGCTGAGAATGATTTATTTGCCTCCCAAATGCCTGAACTCTGACAACTTGTCAATTAAAGTCAGAATCATGGCTAGTGACACATGACACTTCTCATTTCATTCACTGCCAGGCTGGGGCACCTCTTCATATTTAATTACACTCGTCCGCGGGAACCTTGGGATGTTTTCTGATTGTCCTGTGCTCTTGCATACCATGCCATTTTTTAAATATACAGATGTCCTTTTTAAAGCCTCAAATCCAAAGCTGGACTTTGCCGTTTTAACACAATTTTATCCCTTTAATCAAACTAAGTTTGTATTTTTTTTCCATGGCTTACTGTTTAGATGTCTTTCTTTGCAATGAATGGCCACTTGAAGAGGAAGCATCACCAACCACTCACTTCTGGCTTCCTATTTTCCAGTGCTGTTAGAGCTAACTTGCTCTCGAAGCAAGTGGATGATAAATGCATATAAGACCAGTCTTTTGTGTAATATACAGTATGAGATTCAGACCTCTAACAAGATCGTGCATCATCAAAGCAGAAGCTTTATGCTGCTATTTTTCCAGAGCTTACATAGCTTGTTATCTGTTAAGATGAAATGTAACCAGCACATAGAGAACAAATAACTTTCTTTCAGGTGAAATTCAGGGGAAATATAAAGGTGCAGCAGGTGCATCATTTTATGTGTTCAATCAGCCAACAATGAAAAGCAAACGCTGAAAAAAAAGAAAATTAATGTTGACCCATTTGTGCACCTAGCTTACTCAGAGGCCGAGTTCATTGTCAAGGGTAAACTCTGCACACAGCACCTACATTTGAATTATGCAGGAAGTAGGAGAGGGGGATCATTATGGGACATCTGCAGTGCCACCAAGTGCTGGCAAAATTATAGCCTGGAGAACTGTGTGATTGGCACTTAATGAGCAAATGTGAGTGACAATGAGCTTTAGCCTGGAGGGCAACAACAGCATGGGGCGGTGGTAGGTCATGAATCTGGAATAATGAAACAGTAAATGGTCTCCATCACTGCTATTGATTTTTCCTGAGCCTTGGCCTATGTTTTATGTCTGTGATCGTCCACCAACATCGCCGCTAAAGCAAGCAGCACTTACAGGCACTATGCATGTTGTAAAAGAGGGAATGCACACAAGGATGGATGACCTTTTTCCTCCCCTTAAGGACCCTTTTAGCCCATATCTCCCACTATCTCTTGGTATAGACTTTATTAAACTGTGCTTATTTGATATGTAGCAGTACCGTACAGCAGCTAAGGCTTTACAAAGTCCTGATAGAGGTCTTCTGTCATCACTTTTAAATGGGGAGGAAAAAGGGTTGCAAGAGTGATGCCTCAGCAGAGGACTCGCTCTTGACTCCTGCTCTGTTGTCTTATCAAGTCTTTCATTAGCATGCTGCCGCTGCCTAAGCGCTTCATAAATATAGCTGGTAATTCACAGGAAGCCACCCCCTCCCCACATCACCACCCACCCGCTGAGGCCTTCTCCTCCTCGTCCCCAGCCATTATGCAATTCCGCATGCTTGTGTGACTTTTCTCCACACCCACTTGTCTGCCAGTCTACTTCCCTACATCTATCCGCCACTCACATTTCCATCTCCAACCTTCTTCTCTCCTCACAGCTGCTTTTACTTTTTCATTTCAAGTCTCAGTGCAGCCTTAGCTTTTAAAGCACGAGGAGAGATGTTTACAGTAAGAGAGCCGCCGCATTCGGATTTTTATGTTTCATCATCAAATTAGCAGTGTGCCACATTCAGATGATCTATTTTTACCACTAAGTGATGTTAACAGGGTGATGTGATATTCTCACCAATACATTAAGGTTATGTATGCATGCATCATTACCAAGCTTTGAATACTAAAATAGCGGCTGCCTGCTGGGAAAGAGGAAAATATACTCCAGCTTTTCAAATGTGTCGTATTTATCAAAATATAAAATAACCCAGTTTGAAACAACAGATGTAGTGCAGCGTAGACACTTCTTTTTTACTTAAATGTTAACTGTTTCAAATTTATTCAAATAAGCAGAGTATTCCGCATCTTTTTTTAAACGTGGCACATCACCCTGACAGCATGTTTTTTTTTTTTTTTAGGTATGTAAGTAATTAATTCACTATATAATGAAATGTGCTCTAGAGAAAAAAATAGTTGTTTAGATATTTTTTAAGGTAGAAGAAAACAGGTACAGTAAAGAATGAGGCATTGTGCCGAATGAAAATCTGTGGCATTATGTGCACTAGGCAACACAGCGGCCATTTGGGAGCCACCCCGGTGTCCTGAGGTGTACTATTGTTAGCTTTGCATTCACCCAAACACAGAAAAATATCCCTGACCTTCTGTGCTGCATAGCAAGCCAAACTATTAACCTGAAGTTTGTCAACCTAAAAAAGAAAAGAAAAAAAAGGAGGTTTTCTTTTGCTTTTTAACCGTCAGTTCTCACTCAGAAATGTGCACAACACGGTTTCTCAGGTTGAGAAATTTAAACGCATATAACCTTGCTGTTTTCAAAGAGTGTTTTCAGTTGGAAACTCTTCACCTTTTTTTTTTTTTTTTTTTTTTATGGCAAATGAACTTTGTATGTTATAATTTTTTCTCATACACTCATCTTTTCTTTGAGCTGAATATTAAGGGTTTCCCTGAAGACTCAAGGATAGTATACACATAACTCAAAGCTCCTGTGAGCTTGCCTGGTTATTGAACATACTGAAATTCATTTTGATGCCTTTATCAGCCTCAAAAGCAGTCAGGACCATCAGCACTATAACTACGTTTGTATTTTCATATTACCATTTTTAATGACCGCAACCATTGCTGCAGGGACTTTTTAAAACAAAGTAATTAAGTGCATGATGCTGAAACATATTTTTTAAACTCATTTGTATATTTTCCACAAAAGTTTCTCAATTGGTGATGGATTTGAGTGACAAGAAAGCAGGGTAAGGCCTTTTTGGAAAAAATAAAAGCTTGGTATACATGTACTCAACAAAATTAACAAAGATTAGATTAGATTTTCCTTTATTCATCCCTCAGTCGGGAAATAAAGTCGTTAACAGCAGCAGTTAACACAACATACACATTCATAACGGGTACAAAAAACAAATAAATAAGAAAAAGAACTGCGGTAAAAAAAGGAAAGATCAGTGCCAACAAAAAACAGGTATGGATGTGATGATGATATAGATATTGCACATAATAAATAAATAATTAGGGGTGTAGTGGGTGTAGTATTGCACTTTTATTGTTTTTGGTGGTGTTAGTCTGCTAGGAGAGGGCTTGGTTATAGAGTCTGAGAGCAGCGGGAAGCAGAGATGGGAGTTGCTACTTTGTTGATAAAAAACAAAGTAGCAAAAAAATAGAAGAAAAAATCGACAACAAATTATATGGGATGAATATAAAAGCTGATATTTACTCAGTGATGTCCTTCTAGTGTGCGCAGACGAAACCTTAGCTGAAGTGCAGGACAGCACATTATCTTACATCTTTATTGTTTTTGCTGAAATTGGTGCATTCAAAGCATAGACTGTATATACTATGGACAACTTGGTTTCGCCTTCCGCCAGTACACAGATTTGAGGCCAAAAAGCTCTCGGTAATTTCGCATTTTTCTCCACTTCCTGAAACCGGGAGAGTTGCCATGAGTCGCTGTGATGACACTCAGCTCAAGCAGCGTATCCCCCCGGTGAGCTATGCAATCTTCATACACCCATTGGCTGTATCAAATGTCAATCATAGAAAACATGAACCCCCTAATAACTTTTAAAAATGGAGCTGTACAGAAAAAAAGAGGACTTGAGCACAAACCAGTCTTACAGAAACTAAACTAAACTAAACATCGCAAGCATGGGCGAGAAAAAATTATATTCTGTGTCACAATTTTTCTAAAGTTTGTCCACAACTCCATAATCTTTGCTGGAGGAGGTGGGATTTATGACCTATACTGCAGCCCGTCACCAGAGGGTGCTGTTCTCAGGGTGGCTTCACCCAGCAAGGAGGCTGATGCTGTCCATTATATATACAGTCTATGATTCAAAACAATATGAATGGAGAGCAACAAGTTGCCAAAACAAAGCTAATGAAGTTACAGAGGAGAGAGACATTTCACATCTTTACTATCTCTGCTAAGTATGGTGGTAACCATGCCGCGACAAGTTAACAAAACATAGCAACGTGGCAGCAGGAGATGCAACAACACTGCACCATAAAATTCACAAGTCTTGAATAAATTTTTTCTCTAAATTTGCAAATAAAAAACGCTGCCTACAAGATCAGCAAACTGTAACTTGTTTACCACGGGAGACTATCAGTAATGCAGTGGCACTTAAAGAGAGGTTGTGTTATATCAGCATTTAACCTTAAATTAGATCCTTGTTGTGTCGGCTTTGCATGTTCAGTCTTTTAATTTAAACAATCTGAACCTATTTCCATCTTTTCCACTTGGTACACTAAATCTAATTTAGCCATCAATTTAAAAGCTGTGTTTAGAGTTCAAAATAGTAATACTATATCAAAAGCAGATAATAAGAATCGTTTTAAGTAGTTAAGTTCAGTATTTATACACAGGGTTTTTCCTGGCTCAAATTGAGGCAGAGGTGGCACCATCCTGACCATGCGCCATGACGTGCATGTATTTGTAAATTCAACCGATTCACTTTCTTTTACAGGCAACATACTTTAAGTTAAGAGTTCAAAAAAGAGTGTGACCATTATTATGTTAAAGCATTCATTTATTAAAACTATATACATACACAAATCAGCTGGCAACTTTAAATTGAAAGTACACTTCATCCACACATCTCGCAACCAGACAGAACATTTTAGCCTCCTCTTTTTCATTCTGTAGAAACTCCTCATGCTCATCCTTGTAGTCCAAGGCCTCCTGGTCTGGTCCATCAACGGCCACCTTACAACAGACATCCAAGTGCCTCTCCTTCAGTCTGCTCCACAGAGGTGTCTTCACCTTAAACAAAACAATTCATCATGCATTAAGTATTTTTGTTTTTATTCTGATACAGACATGAAGAGTGATAGTGTTTTCAATCATATATATGTATACGCTGCAGTGTCCTCCCTAAAAAAAAAAAACGACAACCAATTATTTCTTAAACTATCTAAACTATGTTATTTATTTTTTGTAACTTTATTAGTTGAGTGTTTTTAGGTACTACCATCTTTAATATACTTCTTCTCTTCTGCTGCTTTGTGAACGGCTATCACCTCATGTCTTTTTAATGTGTCCAGCCTGTAGTTGGTTGATGGCTGTCTCACTAAGGAGGCAGCAATTGCCTGCTGTGTTGGGGCACAGTGCTTTTGGCATAAACAGCAGTGCATGCCTTCCTCAGTATGCCTGAGCCAGGTAAATTGATTGAGCCACTGCTTGTCAAAGCCACTGGCTCTGTGTTTTTGAGAAGATCTAGAAAGAGAAATAAAAACCACGTACACGTTGGCTTTGCGTTGTTATGCTCCTAATTGGAAACTAATTACCCTCGCCTCGCCGACTCGTCCTGTCCTGCATTCTGACCCTCGCGATCACCAGTCCCTTGTGAAGTACTTTCAGACCTGACACAAGTTTCCACGTTGTCACCACTATGAATTATAGCATTTTAACTGCCTGTTACGTTTTTTCTCTGCTGTGTTTCACCTGGACTCTTGACTTTCCTCCTCGCGAGGTCGCTTTTTAAAGTACTGGCTGATTTTGCCTGTCATAACTGCAACGCTAAAAACGGAGTAAACTTTTTTTTTAAAAATAAACACGACATGCTTGGATGCAAAAAAGAGAAGCAGTATTTACCTGTTTGTACCACCCGCCAGGGAAAATCAGGACGCCGACAGCACCAACTAGCGGGAAAAAAACTTGAAAAAACATGATTCGATCCGTTTCTTCTTCGGTAGATGCTTCAGGTCTTTCCGGTGCACTGCTGTTGATATAGCGCCTCTATAGTGGCGCAACGCTGCAACTGCAGTTAAAATACGTTGCTGCTGCATCGGGACATCAATCGCTCAATCAACACAGCTGGAGCTTTACGCTGTGTTGAGCGAAATCAATCGCTCTGGCTGGGGGCGGCACAAAATTAGGTGGAGGCGGCCGCCACGCAATTTTGAACGCAGGAAAAACCCTGATACAGTCTCTTGATAATTTCTAACTGTGAAAATAGTTGTTAGTGGTAGCCTTACTCAGGCTAATCATGTTAGCACTGCAATTCAGTAATTTCAGTTCTGTTTGGCTTGTAATGTAGCTTCCCTTTTCTGGTTATTATGCAAGCCTCCCAAGTATCAGCTTGATGTTTTTCTTCCAGAAGCTAACCAGGTATTTGAGGTAAATATTAAACCCATTTTTTCTTGGAGGTACTATGTACACGAAGTCTGACAAAAAAATATATATCTTCTAAAAAGGTTTGACGTAGGACGAGTGTTGAAGCTTAAATGTATTTCTTCGGATAAAATAATATTGAGAAAAGTGGCATTATTCTTCTTAATTATTATTTTGAGAATACTTTATCAAATAACTGGCAGACAGGATGCAAGAATAATTGGCATCAATATATGGTTTATCCACAAAGAAAGTTTTGACAACTCTGAGATTAAAAATTCTCATTAAAAATCTTAAATATTAAAAGAATAAAATGGAGAGTGACCGTGAGCATAGAAATTAGTCAGACAGGTTGAATGATAGTTGAACAGTTTATATTTTGATCGTGTTACTTTAGTAGATGCAGTGCTTTACGCAGCTTTTCGACTATCTTATGATGGAAGAGAAAAAAAAGTTAGTGTCTGCTGCCAACAGAAAGTAGAGGACAGAGACAGAAGTCTGACCTGGTCTCCTTGTCCCTGAGGAATATTGACAAGGAGCCTCACAGCTCTGCACAAGGACTGATGCCTCTTATAATGACCAACTTAGTCAGGAAATTACAGACAAGAGAGCACACTCTGCAGAGACAAACACCACACACCTTATGATTATGTAGAATAATCCAGAGGAAACATTTACTTTTGAGAAACATCCTTTGCAGGGAAAACTCTGATGTATTTTTCCTTTCATTGCTATTAAGAGTATGTCATATTAGACTGTATTCAGTGACTTTGTGCAGGTTGGAAATCAAAAGTAACAAAACTAAACAATTCGTGTGCCAGTGAGTTCATTCTTTTGTTTTTCCTCTATTGACACAGCAGGGGCTGAAATCATTTGATTGATACTAAAATGAATTTCAGAGTTTTGGTATTGTGACAACTCTGCTGGCAAATAAAATCACCTGTTCTCTCAGTGGAGATGAGTATCCCTGACATCAAATGATTTACAGTGATGTTATGGATCACACAATTTGTTATCTCACTATGGTGCTGGTGGTGTTTTTAGACGAAGACGAGGGTGTTCAATTTGAATGAGACAAACATCAGAGTACTGACTCTAGTTCCAATCTTTTGTAAAAGAAAGTCAGATTTTTCTCTGCAAATCATTCATACATACTAGAGTGAGCAGAAATATTAATGAAACTGTCGAAAAAGCAAAACGGAAAAACTTTGAAGTCAAGCTGAAATAATGTCAGAAATTACAGCAAGTGCTGGGAAAGGCCATTGTTGGCGAGAAACAGGGTAAGGAATTACTTTATGAATCATATTCATATGTTGATGTAAAAACAACTTCAAAATAACTGCAAAAAGTCAGACGAAAAGACAGATAATTTCTGAGTTACAACAAATCTAAAACACTGAAATGCCAGATAAAAAGAAACTGTGAAAACTGTGAAAATGTCCTTAAATGTGTAATGCTCTTTAGCTGAATGTTTCTCTCGGTGGCAGTGAATAAAAACGTAAAAGAGTTATGAACTTTCTGAGTGCCTTTGCGGCTTGGGTAGGACTTGTGATGTATTATTCTTTCAAAACCATTAGGCCGAGAGCAACAAGTGAACCCAGTAGTATTGAAAGTTTTCCAGATGTCTGTGACAAGTTTTTTTTTTTTAAAGAGCGAAATTACAAATTTTGCCTTTCAGCCACAGTTTTTCTCTGGAAACATGCTAATTACAAACTACCCAGTAACATTAATAGTTGACTGGAGAGCAACTATGGCAGATGTTCAATGTTTATGTGGTGTCTCAGGGGTATGAGTTGTCACTGCCTGAGGTCTTTCATTCAGTTAATGTGTAAGGAATCTACAGATGGACTTCATCCAGGCTAAAAACAAAACCCTTTGAAATGGCCTATTGATCTTTTACTCAGTTGTCTCTCCCTCTCTTTCTCTCTCTTTTTTGTGTGTATGTGTGCATCAGTGTTGGGCTATTGTAACTAGATATGACTTACTGTCCTTGGTTTAGCCCAGCAAAGTCACTCATACACCTATGTACACACATAGACACACACACAATTCACACGCATGCAAACATGGTCTGGTCTACATGCGTGGGCCCTGGGAGTGGGATATGAATGCAGTGGGCTGTGAGGATGGGTAATGGAGGACAGTATGTGTCCTGGGATCATGGCGGATGGATCCTCCATTGCGAAGGCGATGAGACCTGAAGGGCGACAGGGAGATGGAGGCATTGAGGGAGAGAGCAGCCGCAGCCCAACGCTCTGTTAGGCGCCTAATGGAGAGACAGCGAGGAAGCAGTGAGCACTACAGGGCCCACTGCTCACAGAGGAACGCTAGAAAGGCACAGGCTCACAGACAAAAAAGAAAAGTCAGGCTGCAGGGGCTGCTGCAACACCAAGGCACGACACAAAATTAGCTAATTTTGGATTCTAAGGGTCTTCATAGGTGAATCTGTGCAGATGAAGTGCAACCATATGTGTTGATCAATAAACATATTTTGTCTTAATCAATGCCAGATTACTTAACAGGGTCACGGAGCAGCAAAGGTGGCGTGAGTGAAAGCCCTTGTGGACAGCAGTGAGCATGAATGATGGTGCATGTTACGTAACTCATTGTTGTTTTTAGTAAAGCTTTGGCTTTTAGTGAAGTCAGATACTGGACAGATGGCGGAGCTTGAAAGGAGCAAAGAATGAGCAAAGGTTGTTGCTCGCTTTGTTAGAAAAGTGCACCTATTGATCACAGTAAGTGCCATATCAATCAGGATCAGAAGTTGTGTTACATGATCACTCAGCAGTAAGTTTTAGAAATTGCAAGATTTGTTTTTCCCCTTTCTACCAGCTATTAACAAAAAGACGCTTTCTCATTTGCTGATACTGCACCAGATCAATATATGGACTGCTGCTGCTTAAACTCCTTTGCCAGATAAAATAAAATGTCACAATCTAGCATGATTACATTTAATAACACTCCACAGCATAAGACAGGTATGTTTTTGTATTTTTTAAAGTTTATTCTGTCCTTAGACGTCATTCCAGGGCAGATAAAGGGACACAAGGTCAGTCCTGTTTGCGAATCAGCCTGCCAAAAAAACAAGGTAGCTTTTAGGATTTAACCCAGAGCTCCATCCCAATTCTTGTTTTTGTCTTTTAAGGTCACCGCCTTCATCTTCCACTCCTTATTTGTCTGATCTGGTAAGGCAGTGGCTGGCTGGTTGGGGGATCACTGATTTACAGGAAATAAAGCCTCTTTGAATGTTAGTGCTAATGTTCCAGCTTCAATTTCCCAAACAAGCCAGTAGTCACTCCACCTAATGTGTAAGAGCAACAAAATTGCACCTTTAATGTCTACTTCACTTTGCAGGGAACATGTATTTAAGCTAGGTAAATACATTTGCTTTTAATGGATTTATTTCAGGCTGTTCCTGAACCAGTTTTTATTATTTTTTTATTTTTTTTTATTAAAAAAACATGCATTACCATTCCCAAAATGTTTATCTTCTAAGATGAAAAAGCACTACACTTTATTCAGACACCAGAGCTGCATATATAAAATTTCCTTTGATCCCTGGGTCTGGGACAAATACAGATGGTGGAACCCATTTTTTCATTTTCTTCAATTTATGAGAAAGAGAGACTGGATTTTCAGATAGAGCGCACAACTCCGTCTACCTTCAGCTGCTGATATCATGCTTAATTGGATCAAAGTCTTCCACTGCAACAAGACTTACAATTATTCTTCCACAGTGGTGCAGCCATTTTAATGAGCTTCTTTTCAAACAATCTCACCTTGCGAGCAACTAATCTACATCATTGCTGTTATTGTGAGAACCGAAAGCTTGGGAAGAAACAGAGCTTTTTATAAATGGGATTATTTTGTCCCACAAAATTTGAGCATCAGTTAATTGCACTTAATTTTGGGGAACAAAACCTGCACACACCTTGCATCTCGCTATGGCTGCCTTGTTAGCAGGTTTATTCATTAATATTCAGGATTCACGGAGGCTTCTGCAACACTTTAAATCTTTGAGAAAAACACTCGCAAGTAACTGGAGTAAAACTGAAATGAATAATTGCAATAAAGACCCAACAGCTAAAAGAAAAGATGAGAGCATTAGTTGGTTAAGTTAAGGCTATGAGTAGGTTGTTCAAGTGTGATCAGCTCAGTAAAGTAGGTTTTTGTGCATTTGAGGAGGTGGGGAGGAGCACAGATTGTGGACGGTAATACAACGTGAAGCCTCTACATTCTTCTGTGTAGCGGACAGCACATTTCACGTTACTCTCAGCATGCTGCATGTTCAAAGCTATGATAGTCACTGACACACCAATTACGGAAGCACACTTAGATTAGGCCTTTACAGCCCGTTATGTCTCCTTCTGTTTTAAAATGCATTTGTTATGTGTAATTTATTTTGACTGGAACCATGACAACAAACAGAGATTCCCAATTACAGTTA